AAATAAATTAAACCTATAGAACTTCTTCTTCTATTGATTCTTTATGTTCTTGGAGGTTTTGTTACATTCATAGATCTTGATATCTACATAAGTAACAAACACCTCTTCTCTTAGTTTTGTAATCATCAAAACATATGGTTCAACACAATGCTATCAAAAATGTGCAATGTGCTACAGCGCATGGCACTGAGGCAAACATGTCACAATGCATATACTAGAAGCCGTAATGCACCTCTTTGCTACTGCGCTGTTTTGTTATTTTTAACTATATTACAAATGCTTTAACTTGTTTAAGATTCCATGCTTCTGCATATACTTTCTACTTTTATTTGAACTTGTAAAGGTTTTCTGACATGTATTGAAACCTTTGCAAACTTAGGATCCTATTTTGTAAAACTTATAAATTTGGAAATCTTCTTGGATTAATCCCTTAATTACCTTGATGTTGGAGTTAAGTAGAGATTAGTAAAGGAGACCTTACACTAGTACTAACTTGTTTCTATCAGTACTATTTCCCTAAAATCGTAGTTTATATAGGGATTACTCCTTGTGTTCCTTTCAAGTATCAATACAGTTGCAATTTACTCTCTACTGGTACTAATCTTCATACCCATGCCAATCATTCAATTCCAATATGGATGAGCTTTTGAGTTAGTATCTTTTATGTAAAACTCTTCTGATACTACTCAAACACTACTGTATTGTTCTAGGATTTCATTGTCTTAAATGTTCTTGACAATACTAGTATTCCCATGTTTATACCAGTACTATGATGAAGATTCCTACTCTACTTTTCATTCCAAATCTCATGAGCTTTAAATCAAACTTGTCTCTTATTTCTTTCATCTTCAATAAGTTGTGTTGGTCTTTTACTTATCTAGAAGTCTACTAAACACAACCTTGGGTAGATCAACCATCTTTTGATTCATATGCACTCTTTCTACCTGTATTATATTTGGCTTTATCAGTATTCATCTACCTACTTTTTGTCAAAGCTTTAAAAGCATATGGTCATTTCCTCATTTTTGGAGAAGCTCATACAAAAAGATGAAGTTAAGTCCAATAGATAACTTAATGTATCTAATGGATTATTAATTGTCTCGAACTATAAATGAACATATTTATGAAGAACATGTTTATGAAGATAGAAAGAGAAAAGTTATTACACAAACTTACGCATTCAATTTTCTACCAACCTTCTATTATTACATTCATTATTTCTAATCTTCATTAATTGTAAATCTACTCTTAAAGAGAGTTATTGACAGTAGTTATTCATTCTTGAACATAATTTGTTTATCCATGTTTTCACTACTTGAAATAGACGACTTAAGCTTAAGAAGCTTAAGAGAATTAATTCATTACCTTTGTAAGGAAGAATGTTATAGACATGAAGTTTGGGATTGTACTGAGGCAATCAAGAGCTCAAATTAATTTTGGTAAAATAAGTAGATAAAATCTCAAGTGTGATTTGGAATTAGATGTAGACTTAAGTGGTTAGAGCTAAACTAGGATAAATACTCATGCAAGCTTCTCTTCCCTTCTCTCAGCATACTTTGGTGATATCATTCCTAACTTATCTATTTTATTCACGTATTTTTTGTCAAATTTTCATTAAGCACAATTCACCTCCCCTTAAGAGGCTTTACATGGAAAGTACTATTAAAATGGGGGATGAAGAGGCCTGATGACCTATCACCTAAGATTGTTAATAACACCAGCTGGGAAGAGTGTAATGGAAAATCAATGAAGTTCTGGACTAATAAATGGTTCAAGAATCATGGAAAGTTGAAGAATCTATGTGAGGGACATATTAGTAAGGAAATAATGAAGTGGGAGGTGATGTGGTATGTTGACAATGAGGGAAATTGGGGAAGTGATTGTTCAATGAGTTGGAGGATCTACTTCCAATAGAGGTTCTGGAGTGTTTAAAGGTGTGTCTTCCTCTCGCTGATAAGGATGGCAAGGATAGGGTGCAATGGCTTGGAACTTCCAATGAGCTTGTGGCTAGTATGTATCAGATACTACAAAATGTGGTGCATGATGTTAAAGAAGAAGTGTGGAAACTGATTTAGAATTGGCAGGGGTGTAGGAGGATTCAAGTTTTCATGTGGTTGGCAACTTTAGCTAGATGAGGTAAAATCTATAACACTTCCCCTGCTTGTAGTCTGTAATAAATCTAATGAAGATGTCTTACATATTCTATGTGACTGTGAAAGGGTTAGAGATGTTTGGAAAGTGTTGCTTAAGGTGATAAATGATAATGTTATTTTTTCTAAATCTCCAAGATCGTGGTTTGAATTTAATTTACTGAACTAAGGAGGAAAGGGGGAGAAGGACTGGAAACTTTTTTTTTTTTTAATTTGCTATAGGAATTTGGTATGTGGTTTTGAAGGAATTGTTTTCTCTTTGACAAGGACATTGTTTGGCTGATAGATCCTGTGCAGGTGTAGAAAGGACATAAAAAGAAGAGTACGCATAGAAGTGAGATGGGTTAAACTATATAAAGGTTGTTATAATGCATAGATACGGAATACATTGATACTTTTATTTTTAAAAAAAATGTATGATACAATACGTATCCAATACATACATATATATACACACACACATAAAAAGTATCAAAAATATAATTCAAGTCAAAAAAATCTAAACTAGTGCACTTATATAGTCCTTTATAGTAATACCAAATAAAATATAATCATTAATTATACTTTTATTTTATTTATATTTTGTCTATCTTCTAACCCTTGGTAATAATTTCTCACTTTAGGTTTATATGTTAAAAGATTACATTCCTATGTTTTTATAATGAAGAACATATAATTTTATCTTTTTATTATGTCTAAATCTTTATTTTTTAAAAAAAATTAATATTTGACTTTAAAAGCAAATCACAAAAATACATTAGTAACAAAAAAAAATTAGTATAACAATATTTGAAAAAATTAATTTCTTAAAAATAATCTTGAAATATTGGGTTTAAAATATCAACTCGTAATCTAAAGGTATTGAATATGAATTGAAATTAACTTTGTAAAAAAAATTAAAAATAATATTTCAATACACTGTGAATTTGCATCAAAAAATATTAACAAGTGCCAATGTCAAATATGATGGATATGTAAGGTAATTTGAAATATAGATGCCTTATTTTAATGGCTAAAACTGAATTGCAATGACGCTATACGGGGTGGTGATGGAGGGGCTGGCTGTGGTGGACGGATCTGCGATAGGAATGGCAAGTGGATCACAGGTTCATGTGCGTAAGTTGGAATTTGTACAGTGTACTCCTTTGGATGCTTGAGGCTGTGGTGCTGACAGGCTAGAAAAAAAAAGTGCTTCAAGCCATTTGTTCTCGATGCCACATGATCTGCTTGATGAGTTGTGTACCAGCTTCACAGGGATGTTATGGGTTTTGTGAGCCCAAAGATTAACCGCAGGTTAAGTTTTTTTTTTTTTTGAATTTTGGGTCCTTGTCGCCGTTTCTTACCCATAAACAGTGATGTTTATAGACCTCGTTGACTCATACATATACACACATAAACCTAAACTGGGCCTAACTCGCATGCCCAAAACACAATGTGAGGCTGGATTTAATCAAGTGGTGTGGCACAAATGGTAGTGCATTGGGCTTTTTAAACATTATTTCAGCCATTTGGAGTTAGATTTTTGGAAATGGTTATCAACTAGAGTTGGGAAAACGGGCTAGCCTGGCCCTTGAAGGGCTCGAGCCTAAAAGGGCCAGCCCGTTTAAGCCCGAGTTCCCTTTGAGGGGTTTAATCCTGAAGCTCGGCCCTAAGCATAACGGGCTTAGATTTCAGCCATTTGGAGTTAGATTTTTGGAAATGGATATCAACTAGAGTTGGGAAAACGGGCTAGCCTGGCCCTTGAAGGGCTCGGGCCTAAAAGGGCCAGCCCGTTTAAGCCCGAGTTCCCTTTGAGGGGTTCAATCCTGAAGCCCGGCCCTAAGCATAACGGGCTTAGGGCCGGCCCTGCGGGCTTCGAGCCCTTTTGCCTTTTTTTTTAATTTTTTTTCTCAAATTAAAATTGGTTCAATCATTCCTTTATGACATAAGCTAAATAACAATAAGCAATAAACAATCAAACTAAGCACAATAAACAAGTAGTAATATCCAAAGAAACAAAACATCTAAATGAGCTAGATGTTAGAAACACAATCTAAATGAAAATGATAGCATGCAATAAAGCCAAGATGAGCTGAATCTATCCAGTACAGTATCCACCACCAAGAACCATAGTCTCATGAAAATATTTAAATAAATACACTTAAATACTCAATAACTCAAATATTAGTAGCATCATCATTATCTTCTTCTTCTTCACTATCATCCAGCTCAAGAAAATTTGATTGTGATCCACTTATAGCTGGCTCATCAGGGGCAAAAATATCAAGACTTTCTTCTTCTTCTTTACCTTCATTATCTGCAATAAATAATAAACAAAAATACTCACACAATTATAGTTATTATTTCTCATGTTGTTTGTAATTTGTATGGTAAAAAATAAAATAAATTAAAATTAAAATTACCATTGTACACAATACCATGTAACCAATTACGAATGCAAATGATAGCCTGAACATTAGCTGGAAGAATGGAACTCTGATACTTTGTTAGGACGCGCGAACCGATGCTAAAAGCTGACTCACTTGCTACTGTAGTGATCGGAATACTAAGAATATCAGCCGCCATCCTTGAAAGAATTGGATATCAATGTTGATTACTCTTCCACCAGTTTAAGACATCCAATTCTTTCCAACTATCAGGCTTTAGTATTGGTTCCTCTAAATAATTTTCAAGTTCAGACTTATCTAAGGAAGAATGGTCCATAATTGCATAAATATCTTGATAATCCTGCATCATGTATTTATAAAGGATTAAAAAAATATCAAACAAATACTAGATTAATGAAAAAGGTGAAAGAATTTAAAAAGACAAGAATTTAAAACTTACATCAAAGGCATCATCAAAAGAGGTTCATGTTGAAACACTTGAAGCCAAGGCAGAATGATGAGTAGTGACCGTTAAAGCTTTATAACTTGATCCACTTGCAGCCCCATCAACTCCAAGATTGGTAAATGTCCCCATACTTGAATATTCATTAAACATGAATATTAACTTGCTCTTAATATTAGCAACCTTCTCATGGCAAGTGAAAGGGTCAATCTTTGTATAGCAATATTGTATTATATAAAACTTCCCTCTTGGATTAAAAACTACTGCAAGTGCAAGAATGACACTGTACTTATTCCAATACTTGTCAAACTTTTGTTTCATTTTCCTAGCCATCTCTTGAATCACAAGATCAGGGCTTTTCATATTTGCATCAAGCAACATCTCAATTTTGGAAATTTGCATAAAACAAGAGTTTGATATAGGATATGATGACCCAGAAATTAACCTTATAATCTTCTCAAATGGCCTCAAGAAGCTGCACATTGCATCTGCTCTAGCCCACTCATCATTTGTGAGACTAAATTTGTAATTTGTATCATTGATAGCTATGTGTGTAAAAGCACGGCGATATTCAATTCCACTTTCAAGCATTGTGTAGGTGGAATTCCATCTAGTGGGCACATCTAGTCGCAAGCCCATTGAGGTGTCAATGCTACCAACTTGCTCAACACATTGTTTAAAAAGAATTGACCTTGCCTCTGATGCTTTCACAAATTTAATACTTTCTCTAATCTTATGCAAAGCAGAACTTGTAACTTTCAAACCCTCCTGAACTATCAAGTTTAGGATGTGAGCACAACACCTCACATGGAAAAATTCTCCATTACTCACTAATTTGAAATCATCTTGCAAACTCAACCTCTCTTTCAATATGTCCTGCATATTATCATTTGCAGATGCATTGTCTAAAGTAATGGAGAATATTCTATTCTCAATCCCCCAATCAGTCAAACATTCATGCACTTTTCTAGCTAGCTCTATCCTAGAATGTGGAGGTTTCATTTTACAAAATGAAAGTATTTTACTATATAATTTCCACCTTTCATCCACAAAATGAGCTGTCAAACAAATATAACCTTCAGAACTCACAAAAGTCCAACAATCAGATGTCAAACAAATTTTACTATTACTTCTCTTCAACTTTTGTTTCAAATTCTCTTTTTGTCGAAGGAAGAATTTCATAACATCAGCAGCAACAGTTTTTCTAGTAAAAAGCCTAACTTCAAGATTCAATGTCAAAAGTAGTTATTTGATCCACTTGTATTCAACAAAGGAATAAGGAAGATCATGTTCAATTATGGCCATAGTTATAATCCTCCGAATTCGCATAGTATTAATTTTTCGACACCTAATATTGCCTTCTTTATCCAATAACATCACTCCAATATCATGAAATTTGTCCAAAACTTTACAAGATCTAGCATGCCTATTTAAATGTGAAGTACCATTAGTCCCACCAGATGCTAATAAAGTTTGACAGCCATTACACCTTGCTTTAGGTTTTCCACTAACCTCAATTCTAGTAAAATACTTCCAAACATCAGATGTTAAAGTTCTAGCATTTTTAGACTTAGATTCATCGGTCTCTTGAACAGAAGAACATGACTTACCTCTGGACCTTTTAGCTTTTAGTTCATCATCCACCTGCACGTCCTCTGCCTCTTGAACTATACCAGCAGCTAAACTAGGGACCATACCACTCTTTATCAATGTTCTATCATCACACTTGGCTAAATCATTGCTAGAGACATTGGTTGCCTTGCTCTTACTCTTGTGTGATTGTGAAGCAGACATTATAAATTTCAAATACTCTCTGCCTGTTGCATTGCATCAAAGTAAAAGGAATAAATTACTCACAAATCAAAGCTAGAACAGAACACTCAAATACCCAAACCCAAGTAAAAGAGGAGAAAGCTTAAACCTGTGCGAGCGATTGTGCGTGATTCAACAGATGAGGGAACAAAGAACACTAGAACTCAGCACACAGAACAGAGAACTCAGCACAATATAGCTATGAATTCACGAGAACAAAGATTAGTGAACAGCACGTTTAATATATCACAGAACACGCAAGCAAAAGAGAACTCATTGCACGACCTCGACGGTAACAGTAAGACGGTGGAAGATCAAAGCCACGGTGAGGATTAGAACTACAGCATTTGAACGTTGATTCGAGCTGAGGAGGGAGATCTAATGATGGAGAGCTGTGCGAAAAACACAACAGCTAGCAGCTTGGAATGTAGATCAGACGACGTTGATTCGAGCTTGGAGTTGCTATAGTAATGGACGAGAGCGAGATGAGAGCCTCAAGTCTCCAGCTTGTCAGAAAGATCAAAGATTGAAAGAGAAAAATGATTGCTACCTACTGTGCAGGGAGCCACAAACTAATGAAAGTGAGACTGAGAATAAGATTAAGAATGCAGATCCAACGACGGTCGACGGTGGAGCTGCTACAGCAACATACGAGAGTGAGAGCGAGGTGAAAGCGAGATGAGAGCCTCAAGATAGTCGGAAAGATTGAAGAATGAAGTCTGAAAGAAAGATCACCGTCTGCCATTGCCACCACCCACCCACTGTGCAAGATACGAAGCCACAAACTGAGACAATAAGAGCGTGAGACTGACGAAAATGAGACCGAGGGCAAGATTCTGAGAACAAGAACTTAGGGTTGGTTTTTTTTTTAAATTTCCTCCTTTTGTCCTTTAGTAAATAACTAAATATGGGCTCCAACTTACACAATTTTTGTCCAGCCCATTAATCCTTTACTCGTTATGTCCATAATTAAAAAAAATTTCAAGGGCTTAAACGGGCTGGCCCTCGGTCCTTTAGGGCCAGCCCATTTAAATTAGGGCCTAAACGGGCCAACCCGTTTGAGACCATTTTCCATTTTAAGGTCCTAATTGTAAGCTCGGCCCTCCTATTATACGGGCTTAAACGGGTAGGCCCTACGGGCTCGGCCCATTTTCCTGGTTCTAATATCAACACGTGTTTATTAAGAAAGGAGTGGACACCCCCTTAAGTGGTGCTTGTATTCCTTGAGAAATTGATACATCTCATTACTGCTAGCTGTGAAAGTACCTTGGCTAACCAAAAAATGTGACTGCTATAGTTTATCATCATTTTCCACACACGCGGACAGCCAAGAGGTATCTAATTTGTATTAACCAAACTATTTAACAACTAAGCTCCTGATTCGGAGATTGGTGTTGATTTTTTAGTTCCTAATTATTGTCATCTATGTAATTTTCTCGAGAGTTTCAGAAATCTTTAATGTTGCATATGTGAAAAACAAACAAAGTTAGTGAGCTCTTATTGTAACTTTCTCTTCTCTTTATCAAATCAATCAATTAAATGCTCTCTGCATCTCTATATATAAAAGATTTTTAAAAATTTTTTATCTTTAAATATAAGAGATTATTAGCATGTTTTTAATAAATGAATTATTATACTGTTATTAAATTAGAATGAGAGAAAGATAAATTCTTTCATTAATTTACTTTAAAAAAAGATATTCATTTTTTATTGACAATAATTAGAGATAAAATTAAAATATTACTATACCATTAATTAGATAATTAATTTTTATTAATTTAAATGATTTAATTAAAAATATATTATATATAAGGGGCTTTAGCAAATTTGGCCAACCTTATATAACTAAATAAAACTAATAACCTACCTTTTCCTAAATTAAGAGAATGGCCTTTTCCTAATTTTCTTCTAATGCAAAAGACAAAATTACCCCAATGCCTTCAGTCAAAAAAAAAAACCCCACTACCCTGATTCCTTTTTTCAAATTGAAGATCTAAACATTTGGCCCATACTCGCTTTCACTCACTTTACCCCACACGAAAGACAACACTGCGCTCTTGATCAGACGCCGAAGAAACTGACAGCAACTACCGGAAAAGCTCACGCCAGACGAAAAACTAACTTACAGTTTTAGAAAAGAAGACCACACGAACACGAGAAGAGGCAAACCGAAGCTCTACATATTCATTTACTAACAAAGATGAATGCGAGGCAGGCAGACTCACTGCTATAGATTCAAGGTCAAAAATTATAAAGAGGTGAGAAAGTCCAGAACTACATCTTCTACACAAAGCCACGCTAAAGCTTCAGATTGAGGGTGGGTTGCCGGTCATACTCTATTACTGAAGGTAGAGTTCAAGTGAGGGTTTCGTCAATGCCACCAAAGAGGAAGAATCGTCCCACTTCACCAAGTTTTTTCTCTATATCACTAATATATTCTGTCAAATCAAATCAATCTAAGAAGCCAACTGGCCGATTGTTGTGAGGTCTTTCTTGGGTCTCTGTCTATAAATCTGCTTACCGGTCCCTGGTAAAATAGAAAGATGTTGATAATAAAAAAGTGACCTATCCTCTCCCTCCTGGTCCCTGGTAAAAAAGGAAAAAAAAGAGTTTATGAATCACTCATCTGCCAGTAGTTCTAGTTAGGATTTTGTAGCTTACTCATCACGACTTCAAGTTGATGATTTGCTTAGGTGAGATGTTTGGCTGTCAAATAAACTCCTATTGGCTGAGGGATACTTTTGTGTTCATGGTTTGGCTAGCCAAAATGACAACCTGAAAAAGAAGGTGCGGTTAAGATGGAAAAATGGTAACCAGGGAAATTTTTGCATTACAAAAATTTTTCATAATCTCAACCAGGGAAAAATGGTCAAACCTGAATTACAATGTTCTATTATTTATATTATGATTTGCTCTTTCCCCTGATAACTCCTTATTTATCAATCAATTAAGATCATGGCTTCTTGTAACAGCAAGTGCACAAATTTCATCAAACGAATCCCATGATTTATGCCCTAATATTTTCTCTATATGCTTTTTCTGTACAGTTGTCAGAATGTTATTTCCTGTTGCATTCATCCTTAGTGCTCATCTATTTTCCTAATTTACTTGCCTATTTGTCTTGAGTGGCTGTTTTCTGTGGCTTAACCTCTATAGATAAATGTATGTGTTGTCTGTCGCCAAATAAATATGATAAAACACTTCATATGATAATTGCACTAATATTTGTCTCCAAAACTTAGTCTGTCACAAAGAATTATTCCAGTACTTGTCAGTGGCATATCTTTCTGTTAACATGACATATGAGTATTTTAACTGTTAAATTCTAATCATGTTTGGGTGAACCCTTTCTACTGTGATCTATTATGGTTGTGTTTTGCATATTTGGCCAACAATCCTTTTTGTGTCAAGAAGTCCAAAGTCTAAGTTGCTATTAGCTTCTCTTTTCAGTTTATTTGACACAAACTCTACCTGATACTTAAATATATAATTGACATCTCTTGTTCCTTTTTTGATAAATATATCAATGATATACCATTAGTACACCAATGATATATGTACCTATATCAAAGACATACCATTGTGAAGTGTATTTTTTTCATTGCTTTTATATTTGATTCATCAATGCTAGTACTTAAATATATTAACACTTTTCTAAAATATCAGGGGCAACAACTTCAAGGGCCATTCGTAGGAAAGACAAAGAGGCAATAGAGAATATAAGTCAAGACCAAAGAAGCACAAGAGAATATATAGTCCATAGGGAACTCTGGAATCCTCACCAGAGAATTTTGCATGGCAACAAGATTGAAGTTGTTGAAATAATAAACCAAAAACTAAATGAGGAGCAGCTTGAAACATTCAAAGAAGGATGTCTAGGACACCTACTAGACATAAAAAATGCGTGCTTTTCTAGGACGATTAGTGCATTGGTTGGTTCGAAGCCAATGCCCTACCGAAAGGGATGACAAGTTATACTTTTTGATTGGAGGAAAAGTGTTAACCTTTAGATTAAAGGAGTTTGCAATCGTTACTGCCTAAATTGTAATCATTTACCTGCTATGGACTTTAGTGAAAAACCCATCCCAGCCTTTATAGATAAATTCTTTCAAGTTAAGAACACGTTGCCTAAAAGAAAAGACATCTTCTCTATCTTTAGAGACAACATCCCAAACAATGATGCTAATTTTGTCAAGTTAGCAAAACTTAATTGTTTGGAGAACATGCTCTTGTCAAAGCAAGATCATAATGCCATTGATCACAAGTTTTACAAGTTGCTTGGAGATGATAACTTGTTTGAAAAATATCAATGGGGAAGGGTGTGCTACAACATGACTGTAGAATCCTTCAAGGATGCAATTAATAAATTTGGTGTCAATTATTGGATTGGAGGATTCCCATATGCCATTATTGCTTGGGCATATGAAATGATACCGGCATTGAAAAAGCATAAATATGATGAAAAAGTAGGAGACGCACTCCTAAGGATATTGAACTGGACAACGAATGATTATTATGAGTGGTCACAACTTGAAAAGAACGTGATCAATGCAAAGAATGTAAGTATGTTCATAATTTTATATTTACCTTGTATTTAAGTATGTTTAATGCAAAGAATGCAAAGAACGTGATCATGTTTACTTTTTTGTAAATCATTTAATATTTAGTAGTTTCTGTAACTATTTGTCAATCATATACAGATGGGGGCAATTGATATGCATTATTGGAAAATGAAAAATGTAGAGTTCACTGTCTTGTATAACAGTGCTATATAATGGTATATCAGTGGTATATACTTGTATATCAGTGATGTATGATTTTTTATATCTAATATATATTGGAAAATTGCTAGCTATTACTTGCATTTGACATTAATTAGCAGCTGTAACTCATCATGTATCATTTTATTTTGGATATTACAGTTGAAAATGCAAGAGTTGGTCATCACAAATCAAGAATGGGAAAAGGATTATATGCACATT